TTCCAACCGAAACCAGTCTGTGATTCTATGAAAGGTTCAGGTAGCTCAGCTGCATCCAGGTGAGTCCCTTCAACCACACACTTGCCTCCCCAGGAAGCATTTCTGCCCAAGAGCTGCACTGTTGTCTGCTACTTCCCAGCAGCTTGGCCAGAACCCAGGCTGGGAAGCGAATGCAGAGCTTTTTCTTTCCTATACCTTGTTCCCAGCTTTGTAATTAAGGACTGCAAGAATAAACTTGCAGTGTTGTCATCTGCAAGGATGCCAAGAGTGTGGTGAATGCAAAAAGACAAATTGGGGTGCATGAGCCCTGTACAGGTGAACTTCCCAAGCAACAGGAACAGGCCTTTGCAGCCCGGTGTGAGCAGGGTCAGTTTGGAGCGGGGATCCAAGAGGAGGGATCTTTTTGGCAAGGAGTAATCAGGAGGCTGGAAAATCTGAAGGAGGAGAACTGGGGCCTTGAAGTCCAAACAGGAAGTTTCTGCTCCTGACATCCGCTGGAAACCAAGATGTGGAAGCAGAGGGGCAGTCAAGCAACACAGTGAGTAGAATTCCCACCATCAGTAGGGGGGGCAGATGAGACAGAAGGGAAAACCCAATGCAAGGTCCCGTTAGAGCACGCACATCGGCATTATAAACCACTGTCTTTGTCAAGTAACAAAGGGAGAAGTGTCAGGTGCTGAGGGAACAGCCAGAAGAAAGTACTGCTCCCTCCACATCCATAGCCTGGCTCAGTAACTCCATTAGGGTGGGGAGGGGGCTCTGGGGTCCTTCCCATGAACAACTTGTGGGGTGATGGCCTGGGGCACGCTGCAGTGAAGGCAGAAAGCGAGCAGCAATAGACCAGTGCAGGAACCATAAGAACAGCTGCCCAGCTTGTCCACCTCCTGCCTGAACAGGTATGCAGAAGAGGTGCATAATGAAGGAGCTATTACAGTGAGAGGACAGGTACCACCCTGCACTGTGGGAGCCCATCCCAGCTGATATATCCTGCCATCTCTTCCCATGTTTCTCCTGCAGTCACCCATGGGGCGCACACACTGCCACAGAGAGACCAGGGCTCACTGCACCCTAAAACCCCTCAGTTTTTAGGGTAGGAGCATGACCTGGGGTGTTTCTGTTTCTGGAGAGAGCCAGAACCTGTCCAGGCATCAAGCCACAGCCGACAACATATGCCATCCCTCCTGGCACCCCTCCCCACTCACCTTGCTCCGCAGCAGCCCTCCACTCGGTCGCTCTGGCGTGCTGTGCTCTGAGGACGGCTTGGTCTTTTCCTTGTTGTTGTTGGAGTCGTTGTCCTTGATGATGTCATACTGTCTGCAGAAGAGGGCGATCACCGCTGCAGAAAGACAGAGGACGAAGGAATGAAGGACTCCCTAACACTGGCTGCCCCCTGCCTCCCCTCCCCACAGCATCCCAGATGGAGACCGGTCAGGCTCAGGGCACGCTGGGGTGCTGGTCACCCACAATCTCCACCTGGGTCAGCCTGGACCACCCCAGGTACCTCTGCATGTGTGGGCAGGTCAGTCTCCTTGGACCCACAAGGCACAGATGTGGCTAAAGCCATCAGGGCACACGCGAGGTGCTTGGTGCCTACAGCTCAGGGCTCTGAGGCTGAAGGCAGATGTTGACGCACATGGAGAGGGACAGCCCTTTTGGTCAGTGAGCAGCCGAGTGGGCTTCTGAGTGCCTCCAGCAAGGCACTGAAGTTACTGGTCCAGTGCTTCTGGCCATCACAAAAGCCAGCCCTTGGCTTTGTCCTGTCTTGCAAACTGACTGGGGGGTCAGTCACTCTGCCAGGGTTTTACAGTATCATCTCACGCCCCACATGTCCCACACATGGGGACCCTGGACGCAGGACCCTGGAGCAATGCTTTGAACTGTCATCATTACATGTGTCGGACCCATTCAAACAGCCACCTGCAGATGGGACCCGATTTCTCCCTGTTGGCCCTCTGACACACCAACCTGCACAAGGTGTAAGCTAGCAGCAGCCACCTTGTATGTTCTTCCAGTGCACTAGAAAAGTGTTCAGGGCCAGGACAAGGAGAGATTCCTGAAGATGCCACTAGAAAATCCACATTTACTGGGAAGAGAGTAGGGGACAAATGACTTCCCATTAACAGCAGCTGTATGTGACCAGTCAGAAGCAGGTGTTATCTCCTAGGCTTCTTTGCTCCCAGGGCAACCTGCTGTTTGCTAGAGCACTGGCTTTAATCAGGTGCCGTACAGGAGAAAATCATCCATCTTACAGTTTTAGCAGATTGAGGCACAGCCACTACCAGCCACTGCAGCAATGTTGTCAGAAAGCTATCTAAGGCCCAAATTACATTACAGTTAAAGTCAGCGGGGATGCTCCCACCCTGTAATTTGGTATTGCTTGGGTCCCACATTGTCTCCTGCTCTTCCAGCCCACATGCACCAGGCCATCACTGCTGAGCAATGGCTGTGGTTGCTCCTTTTACCCCACTGGCTTGAGCTCAATGACTTACTGGGAAGGATGCCAGACCCATACCAATACATCTCTGCACTCTCTTGAGCCTCATCCTCTTTGTGGACCCTGGATTGCACCTCTGCCCCAGCCTGCTGGAGTGTTGCTTGTGGCACTCACCTGCCCACATGAGCAGCACAGCCACGATGATGATAATCTCGCCAGTCTGCAGCTGCCTGTCTTTGTCCAGCCCTTCCATGGTGATGTCACCTGCAGAGAAGAGAACCCAGGCAGCGCTGGCAGCCGATACCCTCCCACCAGAACCTGCTTCACGACCAGTAATACTTGAGGATCTAAGAAGAAGCACCAGAGGAGAGAGGCCCACCTCCTCCAAACAAGGATGAGTGTGCCAAGACCTGGGATAGAAGGGCTGTAAACCAAGGCTTGGATACATTATCACAGAATCACAGACTCGTAGTGGTTGGAAAAGACCTTTAAGATCACCAAGTCCAACCATATGTGGCCAAAGTGGACACAACAGCAGCCTGTACAACGCTGCTACCCATTATGACCCTGTGTGTCCCAAGCAGCCAGCTGCTCAGGGCAGCACTCTCCTCGCTGGCTGCCAGATCCCTGCCCGTGTGCTGTGGAGACCTCCAGCTGTGGCCCCACCAGTGGCACCTGGGCGAAAGGAGCTGCCTTACCTTGGTTGGAGCTGTTGGAAGGGAGGCGGTCGGTCTCCTTCAGGGTGCGGAAGTGGACGCGCTTACTGGCCTGGCTTTCCCCGTACAGGCCAATGCTCTGCACCTGGATGATGTAGTCGGCATCCTCCGCCAAGTCCCACAGCACACAGGCCCGGTTGGTGGTGTTCACCTCCCGGATGAACCGCTGCATCTGTCCATCCTGCCGCTGCCAGAGTGAAGAGCTGTCATTCCCAGGAGGCTGTTCCCAGTTGCACCAGCCACAGGCCCCTCTCTGCAGGGCTGTGCTGGGCACACTGCCCTTACTCCTCCCTTCCCGGGCAATCATCCACCCCTGAGGTGGGCCAGGTTGGCCAGCACTTTGCTATGCAGCATCCCTGTGTGGCCTGAGAGCCAAGCACTTCCCTGGAGAAGCCACCATCTTCTGGGGCTCTGGAGGTGGAGCAAGGCAAGCAAAGAAGGGTTACGTCATGGCTGAAGCACCATCCTTATCCAGAGAAATCGCAGGGAAGCCACTGTTTTCCCCAGCACAGCCCACCATCTGCTGCCTCCCACCAGGATGGATGGCTTAGACAGGGTGCCCTGGCAAGGGCTGCTCAACAGCAGAGGTGTCCTCAGGCAGGTGCCAGAGGAACTGCAAACTGCGGCAAAAGGGCTGACATAGGAGCATGCTGGCAATCAGTGAGAGGGGTCCCCAGCCCCCTGGGGACAGAGCCTGGGTACCTGCTGTAAGATGGCATAGCCGATGACCACATCTCCTTCTGGGACGTCCCAGGAGACTGTGGCAGAGTTTGCCTTCAGCTGCGTCACAGTCACGTTGACAGGGGACGGTGGCCTGTCTGGGTGAGCCAGGGATGGACCAAGGCGAGGCACAAGAAAGAGGCAAAAGAAGATGTCTCAGAACTGGCACTCAGCCCTGCACACTATCATGGGGGGTCAGGACTACAGGGAGCAGATTCTCCCATCATTCTGTCCCCAGGGGAGGAGTGGCCCAGCAGGTGCCCAAGGCTGAGCCCCTGCCAGCAGAACACATGCACGGCATGGTGGTCCCTGGGCTAGCGTGGCCGGGGAAGGTGTGCAGGCACAGAGCTACCCCTCTGTGGCACCCGCTGGCTTTGGCAGTCTTCACTTGCTGGCCAGCTGTTCGTGAGAAATGTGCTCACTGCACACCTCAGCCTCTGCAGTGTCCTACAGTGGGGCAGGAGGACAAGCTCATGAGGCATCTGACTGGCTCTTCTCTAAAGGGCTCACTTGCAGTGGCAGACATAGCCCATTGCTCATAATACGTGTTGCACGTGAAAGGGATCAGCAGCGCTGACCACATGCCCAGGCTGCCAGACCCAGCTAAAGACACAAAGGGTCCTCAATAGGCTCCTTCCACCTTGCAGACACCGAAATGGGAAATGCATGGAGGCCTATCCTGAGCAAAAAAAGAATTACAGACTTTAAGAGACTGTCATGGCAATTTAAGCAGTCCCTGCAGCTCAAAATCACATGAGAAGTTCCTGCAGCCTGTCTCAGAGCACTGCAGAGACCCTGCTATCAGAGAGGAAAATGACATTCACATCCGCTCGTCACAAGGGCAGCTGCTTGGAGATCTGAGGCACCTTCATTGCTGCTCAGATGTTAATCTGCTGGGAAGTTTACTTCATTCAGCTCCAACACTAGCAGAAGCAGAGCTGCCTGGCATGACATGCTCCTGCTCAGCTTGGGCTCAGAGTAGGCTGAGACTCTTGGGCTCTGAACTTGGGCTCAGAGTAGATTCTTGTCAGGGAAGTCTCGTGTTTCTGTAGGGTCAAGAAAGTCCAAACAAATCCTACATTAATGCAACTTGCCAACCAAGACCGTGATGGTAAAATCAGGCTCCTCTAAGCTCTGGGGCTGCCCCATGGATGTGTACCTCATGAATGCCTGGCACACTACCCAGAATTGCGTAGGAAGCAGCCCAGACACAGTATTTATATATCAACTGTGACAGAAAAATGGGGCAGCTTGGAATAAACACACTATGCAACTCAATCTGGCCATCTCATCTGCCTGGCATTGCTCCCTGCTCTAGAGTGGGGAGGAAAGCCCAATGCAGAAGACAGAGTTGATTTTCCCAGCACTGCAATGCCATTGGCTGCAAAGCTGGCAGCACCACTCAGCCATCGCTGTCCCTCGGAAAGCTGGCCTGATTGACCCATGGCCTGCACCATCACCATTTTGAGATTTCACAGCACTAAGAGTATGGCAGGATCCTACACGGGTACACAGACCTGCATATAAAGCCAAATTTTGTCTGGAAATTAGACACAGGAGCTCATGAAGAAAGACACTGAGGCTGGTGTTCATGTGCCCTCTCTCCCTGTAAACAAGACAATGTTGCTCTACAAGCTGCTGGTGTAGCACAAGTTCAATGCTGTGATTTATATAGATAAGAGAAAGAGCCCCAGAGGGCACCTGAGAACAAGAAAAAAAGACAACTGTAGACACCACCAACAACCACAGTTGGAGTGACAAGGAAAGGTCATTTCTGCAGGTCAACTATTTAAATGCATTTATTCATATTTTAATATACCCAGCTCCACGACAGATCTAACCAGGAAAAGGCAGTGATTCCCACTCTTAGAAATGCAGGTTTGTGGTCTGCCCTGGGTGACTAAGTCAGATAGGAGGGTCGCCCACAGAGCCCAGAAAACACGTTCTTAGAGAGGCACTGGAGCTGACTGCATACCCAACAGAAGCCTGACGCATCACCAGGAGACAGAGTCATTGGAGACAACACGAACAAGGACATCACAGGATGCTGTGCTCTCTCTTCCAGAACAGGAGGCTGGAAAACCGGAAAGCATTTAACGAGACACTCTAATATCCTTTATCCCATTAAGAGTGTGTCTCCTTAGAGTTTTGCCAGTAGGACTCTGGTTCATCACTCTAACCTGTGAGAGGGAGTCTCTGCGCCATGTCCTTCCCTGGTCTCCCCCAAGCCAACAGCAAAACAGACTGAATAAAGCTGCACTCCCGAGACCTGGCCACTGCCCGAGGCATGTGTATTCTGTGTGCACAGGAGCTGAGCTCCCCACAGATGTGGTCTGTTTTTCCACTCCAGCCATGGCCAGTGTGCAAGTTAGTTACACAACTAACAGTTGAGCTGTAGACAGCACCCTGTCCACTAGCAAATAACCCCTTCCCTTGCACTGTCCCAGGCAGAAGCATTTCAAAGTGTGTGTGTATGTGGGGTGGGCAACAGTGTTTCTGCCTGCCTTCAGGTGTAAGAACAGTTGTCCAAGGCTACCACTATGCTAGCAAGTGAAACGAGGTGAGGAACAGCCCACAAATCCAGTGGTGGAGACTGGTCCCAGGAACTGCTTTGGTCTGAACCAGCCAGAATGTGCCCAAACCACTCTTGGGTATGGCACAAGCCATGAACCATCCCTAGCAGGTAGCACTGACAAGCTCCCCTCTTTGTAACTCATGAGCTTAGTGCTATGGATGTGACCAGACCCTGCCAGCTGGCCTCTGGACAAGAACAGGACCTGATGCTTCACAGGATACATCTACAGTAATTAATTAGGTAGCTTTTTACATCTAACAGAATGAGAAGAGGTCGGAATGCGCCCAAAGTGGGCAGTTGGACTTCCCAACCTTTACGTGTATGCAGGGAAATTAAAGGCAGGGTCTGACATCTCCGCAGTGCTGAGGTCTTGTGGATGGAGCTTGTAGCAGGCTCCCTGCTCTGCACAAGAATTGTCCAGGCTTCTGCAGGGAGCCCAGCCTGACCCAGACCAGGTTTGTGGGCTGGGGATGATCAGACATGGCCCTGGGGCTGAGTTACTCTACGATGTGAAGAAAAGGGCACTGCACTGATCCACAAGCCATGCTGCTAGGTCCACATGGGGCTGACACTATTGCTTGAACTGTGTTGAGCCAGAGCTTGCACAGGCCCTGTGTAGGGACCTTCACTCACTGTCAGCAGAAGGGTGTCCCAGGGGGGAAACCACCCTGATATCAAACTGCAAAGATGGTACACTCAAAGCCAGCATGATCTACTAAAACACCCAGAGCCGATCCTCAAGTGTCCCAAATAGAGAGAGGGGAGAGCAAGAGCACGCGGGAGCATGGTGAAGCTATCAGCACGCATGGCTACTCCATGCTTCAGACCTCATGCATTGTAAACACACTTTGTGCAGGCTCCAGGCAAGCAGACCTGAACCTGTGTGATAGGGAGACCTGAAGGTGTCCAGGATGCAGTTCTTCATTGGGAAAATGAGTGTCCCTTGGTCAGTTTGCAGTTCAGCAAACTGCAGGAAAGACATTTCTGAGCACACAGGATTTGCAAGGCTAGCAGGAAGAGATGGGACAAGAAGTTTCAGAAGTCAAAACTAGAGAAGTTCACCATAGAAACATGGGGCAATGTTGAATCCCAAGGATATACAAGATGAGACCTCACTGAAAGTCGTTACTACAAGACCTGCAAAGGACAGCTCACACCATAGAAAGCTTTGCATTTGTTCCCCACATTAAGTCTAATGTTCTCCATCCTGCTCTGCAGCTGAGGTCAGAGCAGTCTCATGCCAGAGCTGTTGCCATAAAGATCTGTGAGTGCAAGGACTTCAAAAAATGTGCTCTCTGAAGCCAACTATTAAAAACATTCCTGTATAGCCAAGATGCTCCAACAGCCTGCTGGGCTCTCTGGGAAAAGCATGCCACAGCTAAGCCCTGCCCAATGCATTAATCGCTAATGATTCTGCATCACTTTTAAGCTATCCAGCTTCACTTTTGATTAAAGTCATATTAAGAAATGGGCACCACCACAGAAAGAGCAATCACTTATTTGAGGCCCGGTGCACCCTTTTGTCCTGTCAGTACAGCAGTGCGTTCCCTCCAGGCCTGCTGAAGAGGTGGAAAGAGCTGGTCCTGTGTGCTGGAGGCAGCAGCACTGCAGCCCGAGGATGGGCAGTAGGGAGGGCTGACCTGTGGGCAGCTGAGTGCTGGACTAGATCTGCCATGCAATCTGGCTTTCTAGGTTAGAGATGGGGCCAGACAGATGCCCCTCAAGAGTGATGGTGGCAGATGTGGCACTGTGTAGGGATGGGGCACAGCCCCACTGGTGCCCTCCCCATCCTGCTCCATGGAGGGGACCTCACCTGCCCCTTGGCCCGTGCCCTTGGGGCTGCTGCTCAAGGGCACCCAGGTGTTTGCCCAACTGATCCCTCCAGCACAGAGGTAAGCAGCAGACTGCACAACTAAAAATAAGTGGCCCCTTTTTAACAACCCTGACTGCATTTCTTCCTGAATCCATCAGGCCCTGGAGTACATATTTTGCAAGATTTAAAACATGGCAGAACGTATCAGAACACCTCCGACATTCGCAATTCCATTTACTACAT